TTAATCATCAGTCTCCTACCCTCACTCCCATCTCCCTTGGGATTGAGTCCCTCACGGGTAGTTTTGATTTCCCCATCTCTACCTGGAACTGGAGGCAAAATTTGTGTCATTTTGATGTTTAACTATGGTAAAGATATGGTGTCTCTGATCACTGTAGAAAATAATGGATTATTCTGTATCATAGTTATTCAAATGGAAAATTAAAACAGTCACCTACTTATTTCAGATAAGTTACAGATGGATCAAATATTTAAATGTAAAAAATTAAAGTAATATGTATTAAAAGAAAACATGAGTAAATACTTTAAAAATTCTGGAATGGGGAAGACAGTTTCCAGCATGGCACATATTCTAGAAGGCATGGAGGAAACAACTGGATTGATTGAAATATAATACCAAATTTCTGTTTTTAATCCTACTTTTAAAATGTAATGTGATAAGCATTTTCCTACATTATAAAATAGTTGTTGAAAACTGAGTTTGTCATGATTATGTAATGGTCTATCATATGAATATACCTACTTAACCACTCCTTTTTTTTGTTTATTTTTTTTCTGGTTTATTCTTTTTCAAATAAGGTAGTACACATACTTAAATGGATCACAAATTAGGTGACAAAGATTTCTCCAGCAAATAGAATGCTGGGGAAATGGGTATGAGCATATTTGAGGTTATTGATGCATACTGGAAAAATTGTTTTCTGAGAGGGCTGTTCTTAGTGACATACATCACAAGTATCTCATGGGGTCTGATTATACACAAGCATTGGCATTATATTTTTAATCTTTGCCAACTTGATGAAAGATAAGATGTTTACTTACATTTCTAAAATTACTGACATTGAACAATTTTCTATGCAATTATTGTTTTGTTTTGTTTTTTTGTCAACTAATTAGTTTTAGTTGAACAAGAAACATGCAGTTGAGGAAAAAAGTTCTTACATTGTAAGTAAGTTTCTCTCCCTTGAGGCACTCATTGATGAGTTTCTTGCATGTTTTTCCAGAGATGGTCTGAGTATATCAAGCTTATAACCCACTCACACTTTTTTGAAACACAGATATTAGCTTACTATGTACACTTTCTGCACACATAGATTTACCTCCTTTTTAATGGGAGCATTGGATTCTATTGCTTGGCCATATGATACTTGATTTAACACTCCTTTGTTAACGGACATTTGGCTGATGGTTCTTTTCAGTTTTTTATGGTTACAAACAGCTCTGGTAAGCAACTTTGTAAATCTTTATTTTTACACTTGATTATCAGTGGAATGAATTAACAATCGTGTGCATCTATACATTTTGATAGATACTGCCCGATTGCACTTTATTCCAGTATATGTTCTCATCATCAGTGCAAGGTTATAATTTGAGTGATTACACCTCTGTCAATACTGTAATTTTCAAAATTTTAAATCTTTGGTACTCTGTTGAAGAAACAGAATAATGTCAGTTTTGCATTCCTTTTATTATGAGTGAGATTCTTTATATATGATTATAAATATTTGTCACTTTGTTTAATGACAGTGCGATCCTGATTTTAGAAAATGTTCTTTATTATTAGTTTTGGCATATGAAAATGCTGCTGGATATTAGTAGTCTCTGCTTCACAGATGAAAATAAAAAGGATGTTAAAAGTGACTCAAGAGAGAAGAGTACAACCAGTTTAACTTCCAAATGTATTAATTCACGTTTTCCCAATCTTCTTAATGGAATGATAGGATATTAAAGTGCTTTGTTTTAAGTTGGCAGAGGTAGGGTTCAGTAGGGTAATTGGGAGAGAGATGCCATTTGAAGGTTTTTGTGCTTGAGTGAAAGAACTGGAAATAGCTTAGCTGCTGTCGAACTTTGTGAATTAAACTTTCACAGTGATTTTAGACATTCTCTACAGATGATTTCTTCTAGGCACTTGTGTTATAAAGTGTTGATTGTAGCATCATTTGCAGTAAGTGTGGTTTAATGGAAAGGGCCTTATCCTGGGCTTAGGAAGTCTCTGCGCCACCAGCCTGCACGTCCCCCTTCACAGCTGGTCCTCAGGCCCCTGGGTAAGTGCTCTCTCCTGGTGATGTCAGGTATGCTTCTCATCAAGGCTTTCCGAGTTGTCTTTGCACTTGTTACAGCATATGTGTAGAAAGGGAGAGCATTAGTTATTATGTCCTAATTTTATATTTGTGAAAAACCCGTAATCTTTATTCTCAAGGACTTTATAATTCTGCTAGTTTTAACCTCCACACATTGAAGTTTAAAAAAAAATACCATGAATAATCTCATCTAGCCACTTCTGAATTTGAATTAATTTTTTGAATGGATGTTTAAAGATATTTCAGCGAGGTATTAATAACTTCGTGAAACTCGTCACTTTTTACCTCTTAAAGCGCTAAGCACAAAGCCTTGTAAGTAGTGAATATCCAGAACGTCCTTGCCAATGAGTCAGGTAAATGCAGATTGTGGCATTCTGTCCTCCCACTACATTGTTAAATCTTCCCACTGAGAATGTACTAATGTTTTCCAGTTGTACGTTCTTGTTTTTACTTAAAATTGTGAGTACTTTATAGCCAAATTAAATTTGATGATGATGGTTAGCTAATAATGAAAATGCCATCAGATAAACACAAAACCAGTCTGTTTATATACAGGAATTATAGGTGTTTTTGGCCTGCGAAGTATAAAATACTTCTTTTCCTTTTTGAGACATCCGTATTTATGACAAAAGAACAACAAAAAAAGCTTAAGCTGATTTCTATTGATAGTTAAGTTTAATGACTGCTACCTGAAAATTATGTGTGAAGGTTGAAATACTCTCTTACTCCCACTAGAGGGGGATTCCTTCCAATTTAGGTAAAAAATACTCTGAGATTAACTAGAAAACCTTTGTATGACATTGATCTTTTTTATTAAGTCGAGGTTGATCTCAGTTTTTTAAAATCAGCTGTTTTCTGTAGGGATTGAAATGTAAATCTTTCAGAAACAAAATATAAAGGATACTGAACCGGAGTGCATATGTATATAAACCACAGTACTTTTGAACAAAACATAATTTTTTTAAGTTGCTTTAATTAAATTGGTTAATACTTAGGAATTTCAGAACAACACTTGAGGGAGAATCCCGGCTGGAGGATGAGGCTGACCTCCAGCCATCCGCCTTGTTCCTCTGGTCCCCGTGGTCTGTCTTTGCCTCTATCTACTGACATAGCCACTTGGAGAGCTCCAAAATTCCACTAGAAAGCTTTGGTTTACCATCACCTCAAGTTGTCAAATATATTAAAGTCCTATCTTTAAATAGGTTTCTATTTGCTAATGAAATTTTTTTTTTGCTGCTTTGACTTTTTATAATATGTTAAGCAAATATAGAACTCACTGTGGAGATGATTTCTGCAGGATTACTCTTACACTCTATTTTTTTTTAATTGAAAGTGTATTAAAATATCACATCAAGGGTGAATGTACCTAACACTGAAGTGTGCAAATATGATCTGTGTATATAATTCAAGAGCAAATGTCATATAGTATTCACAGTAGTAAAGACTCAGCAAATTTGTTGCTTTGTGCTTTCTCTTTAATAAAGTCCTCAGCATTGATTAGAGATTTTAATATAAAAATATTTGAAGTTAGTAACCTAATGTTGTAATTTGCAAAAGGCAGGGCTTAGGAAATCCAAACATATGTAAATGGCAAGTAATTTTTTTTTCTCTTAAAAGTCTATAATAAGATCCTGTTTCTAAACCTAACAATTAGCTTTGGAAATCAAAGTATAAACAGAAATGCTGTCTGTGAATCTCACAATGATTTTGTGCTATAATTGAGCCAACATTTCAGTCTTTAGCCTAAAATCACATTTGGTATCAGCAACATGTGGTTTTCATCAAAACGAGGCTGCTCAGTCTTCTCAGTACCCAAGCATGCATTTCTCTTGCCTTGTGCACCGGCCTTTGTCAGGTACCGGGTGGTAGGTGAGCGTCACTTTCTGTAAAGAATACAGTTTGAGAACACAATTCATTTCTTTTTTGACCCCTTTACTTTCATGCTGCATAAAAATCTTACTGAAATGATCTTCCTTCCCATGTTTCCTTCCCTCAAGGGAAGAATCCAGTTTTGTTTTATAGCAAGATACATTGGATAGAACTGAGAGCCTTCTACTTATACACCTACCACCAATGCCTAATTTTAAAAGGTTTAAAGCTAAATGTGAAGCCCTCTAACTGCCCCACTGTCTTTCCCTTGAAAAATATTCATATTTGTTCTGTTGCTTTCTTTCCTCATCCTTATATATTGGTACTTAGTAGTCGTCAAAGTTAAAAGCTTTATACACCCGAGTGAATAATTATGTTTAAAAAACAGTAATTATCAATACATGTCTTGTTCCCCGCAGCCTTTTAAATTCACGTTAATGAGCTCTGTCTTTTAATGCAGAGGACTGACAGGCAAATTTGAAGTTTTGCCATCATTTCACAACTCGTTGCTTAGCCTCTGCCTGCCTTCTCCCGCACACCGCCTTCAGGAACTCTTGCTCTGCAACATTCCAGAGCCTCAGGATTTCCCACTCTGCTGCAAGCAGGACAAGAAATTACTAGCACTTCACAAACATGATGAAATCGCTTTACGAAGCATGACTTTCCCTCGCTGTCAGTAAAAGATCAAAAAGTGTATGCAACATCTTGTGATTTAAGTGAGAAAGATGATTCTCCTAACTTCCTACATCATTTTGAGGAACTTAGACCACCACCTCAACACGATGGCAAATATATTAATTTGATAGGAGCTAGCCCTTTTATAAAACTGGAACTTGGGGCAGTGACCTGGATTTATACCCAACTCTTGAAGAGACTCACAGATTTCTCTCTCTCTCTCTCTCTCTCTCTCTCTCTCTCCACCTGACATAAATTGAATACCCTTTTTCTCAGAAGTCTCACTTCCAGGCCATGCCTGTGCTCTGGTGTCTGTTGCTAGACTCGACCAACATTTTTGATAGTGCCTAAATTATTTTTTTCCTTATGATTTCAGGTTGAAGTCTTGACCTCCGAGGATACCGCCTTTGGACTCAAGGTGTGTAGTCTGATGTAGCTCATTGTGTAGTTTCATGAGCCCGCCCTTCTCGGTGGTTGGGGAGGCTCAACAGAGAGGACTGGGTTTTTTAAATAGAATGTGGAGGTTCTAAAATCTTCCACAAAAGTTTAAGATTTCTCTTCGCTGGGATTAAGATTAGACCATAATAATGTTTTCTTTCCCTTCCTTTTGCTGTGCAGAATATGAGAAATAGTGCAAGAATCCAAGAGTTTCATTTATTAGTGACTTTTAATTCTGAACTAGCCACGTAACAGGATTTACTGGTTTCCCCCCCGGTTTGGGGGTACCAAAGTACAGCTGCTGAATGTATCAGAGTGCAATTTTTGGTTCATAACTCTGACTTCATTCATCCATTTATTCATTATCTCTGCTTCAGATATTTATTGAACCCCTGTGTTCCAGTCACAACTAAATTAAATTCCAGCTCCTGCCCTTAAGTTTCTCAGCTCAGTTGGTAGGCATATGCCTGTAAACAGCCAAATTATCCTGCAGTGTGGCTGTCTTTCTGCTAGAAATAGGCAAAGGATTGTGGGAGTGTGGTGGAATTGAGAGTTGGGTGGAAAGGCATTCTAGGAGGTTGATCCCTAGGTGGAGCTTGAGGGTTTGGATTATAAATTCAGGCAACGGCAGTGGAAGGGAGAAATGAGAGCTACTTTCAGGTCGCAGGACAACCATGAATAAAATGAGAGGGAACTGAAAGTAGTTAATTCTGTCTGTGTGGCAAGATCTGAGGTTGAAGACGTTAAATATCTGAATTTTATCCCATAGAAATGTGAAGCTATTAAAAGGTTTAAGCCAAGGAGTGCTTAGAGTTGCATTTTAGATGATTTTGGCCACTGTGTGGAGGATGGATTTACCAGTGACCAGTGAAGGGCAGCTGGGCAGAGGAACAGCTCAGGTGAAAGATGACGTGGCCCTGGGCATAGGGGAAGGGGAAAGCAGTCCTTGAAAAGGAAGTCTGCAGGTCCTGGGGCTGAGGAGGGCAGAGGAGCTGAGCTTGGGACCTGGGGAGAGGCCGTGTCACACTGAGGTGGGGGGCTCAGGGGTGAGAGTTGGTGACTTCTTAGAATTAAATCTTTCATATCGGTAGTTATTATCAGATTTATTTGCTGTTTGTACATATTTGCTAGTAATTCTTAAACCTTGTTAGTAAATTGGTAAGAGGCGCTGTGGAGTCCACCTTCATTTTCATATAGAGGCTCAGAAGCACAGCGTAGGGGCAATTTGTTACTTGGGAAGTCCGAATTTTGAAGAATAATTCATGGAAACTTCAGAGCCCAGAGTATGGGTGATCACTTGTACCTGACTCGTGTGCTACATCTTTGGCTAAAACTAAAAATAAGTTATTTATATTTTTTCAAGATTTTTTTCTACTTTCCATTCTAGATGCTTGGCATTTTAAGGGCGTCCTAATAGTTGTGCTACAATTACAGGTGGATGACATTGTAATACTAACAAAAACAAAACCGTTCTGAGGTTATCAGTTTAGCAAGGTTTTGCATCATAAATGAATATAAATTGAAAGTAAAAAGATAAACTAATCCTTTATAAATATTTAAGTATTTGGTGAAGTAACTCAAGTTCACACCCTTAATCATGTTTTTATGTTTTTTTATCTGCCAAAAATTACTGAAAGAAAATTTTTGATTTAGATAGAGCTAATTCCGTACAGTATTCAATATAGTCATTGTCTGAAGTTTTCTTTTTTGTTCTTTTTTAATGCCCAGCATGCCTGTGGAACATTCATTGCATGTTTAACAAGCCTATAGGGTCAGTTCTTGTGAACTCATCTCTATAATCTTTCATCCTTGCTGGGTATGCACCAGTATTAAGGAAGATGAGTGTACCAGCAGCGCTCATGGCCTGCCGCATTATGTAAAGACTTTGCATTTATTTTATGCCTAAATTGGCAGATTGCTTTTGTAGCCTTAAATTCAATTTGTAGAAACAACAGTGAATTTTTTCCAAATAATTCAGTGATTTTCAAAGAATTGAAGCCTTTAATTTTTGCAAATCTATGTTAGTATTTACACATATAACTAAAAGTGAGAAATTTGAAAATACGTGCTCCTTCATTACCTGCAAGTCAGCAAATACATTTTTGTCGTGTTTCTTAAAAGGTCTGAATAATAAGTATTGGTCATATTTTTGAACATTTATCCACAATTGGCCTTTTTCCTTTTTTATGTACCAGGAAAAAATAAAATGTTTGACCCATTGGTAATACATGACTAGAATCATCTTGGTGGATGGGTATAATGCTGCGGTGTGTCTGTACCACATTTGTCTCTGATCCTTGTAGTGGTTATCTTAAATGCACCTTTGATCTTTCTTACCATTTTTTTTTAATTTTGCCAGTATCCATTTATTCACCCCCTGTATGCTGCTTCACCTAAATCAGACTAAAATCTATAAATTTAGTATTTAAGATTGAAGCATGAATTTATCAGTCTCACTGGAAAATGACTTAAACACATTGTGACCCAGAGATAAAAACAACCTATTTTTGTATATGAGTATAGTGAAACTGTACCCCAGGAAAACAAGAAAACTTTGGAGTCATTCAAAACTATTATGATTATTATGGCTGTTTTGAGATTAATTTTTTAAGCCAATCTAATGGGAAATAGCTGTGCTCTTTCTTCTACTTTACATGTCTTTGTTTCACTCCATTGTTTTATTAAGCTTTATCTTAGTCAAAGGTAACTCAAATTGAAATGCTAATAACCATTTCACAGTATATTAAGTACTTAAGCTATTCTCCAGCAGTTCTAATTTTTTCCTCTGAATTTAGGTAGTTTTGATTTTCTTGAGCTTCTTTCTATACAGGTCTAGAAAGATGCTTAATTAATTTAAAATTGTATACTTACAAAAACAAGAATTGTACTGAATAGAAGAGGTGCTTCAAAATAAAAACTGAGCCAACTGTATTAGGAAAGTTCTACAGACTGTAGACCACTGATCTTGATTTCAGCTCTTATCAAGACAGAACTAAAGTATGTAATTTCTGTACAGAATAATAAATCAGGACATCCAGGAGTAGCCAACATGGGTTGGTTCTTTTTACAAGATAGATGTGCCTTCCATGTCATTAATGTATTAGGTAAAGCTGCCAGTAATAATGAGATGATAAATCAACGAAGCAAATATATATAAAACTCTACTGTTAAATGTAGAAAAATAAAGTTTTGACTTTGTTGCTTATGAGTTCTACAAAGAAATTTATGGTAGGGAAGTGAAAAAGAAGAGTGAGTAAAATATACCTGGGACATTAAAATGAAAGATGATGTAATTATAACTTCCATATATTCCTTAAGAGAGCTTATCAAAATCTAAATAATTTAAAATTTAAATATGTAATAAAATAATTAAATAAAATTAAGTAAATAATTTAAAGTTTCACGACCATGAATATCTTTTGCCTTCTTGTTTGTTGTAGATAGCTAAATTGAGAATTATAAAAAAATAAGATTTTTATTTAATCCACTCCCTGTGTGTTAGCCGCTGTTGTTATTCCAAGTATTGGGTGAGGAAATAGGAATTTGCCTGTTACTAACAGAAGTGGAATCGGAACCGGGAAGGTCAGCCCCGAAGCCTGTTCACTTACTTGGATGTCCTGAGAGCTGATAGGTCTGAGCGGCCTCCTAGCTTCCTGTCTCATCCCAGCTGCCCTCACCTCTGTCCTCACGCCAGCAGAACAGCTCAGTCCTTGCATTTTACTGCCTCTTCGCAGCATCTACCTTATTTGGCCTCTTTTCCCTTCCTTTGCTCCCTCCTTGGGGTTCCCCACCGACACTCTGCCGAAGCTCCTCCTCTGAGGCGGGCTTTGCTTTCCCAGACCCCTCTTCCTCCTCCTAGTCATTCCGTGTTGCATTGCACCCTCTATTCTCAATGCTCATCTCGTATATGCCAGTGATAACTCTCCCTTCAACTCCAGGGCTTATTCTTAAATATCTTGCTAAATGAATGAATATTCATAAAGTCAAGACAAAAATTTGAAAATAATACCTCTGTTCAGTACAGCAGATTTCTGGGGTAAATCCTCAATGCTTACTTGTTTGGCAGTTACATAATTTGGGTACCAGGATAATTTTTAAAACCTTTTTCTTCTGCAAGGTAGGTGGACAGAAATATATTACCAGTTCATTTGTTTTTCAGTTCTAAATGGGCATCAGAATTCCACAAATCCAGAAATATTTTGATGCATTATTTTGACTGGCATGTTCTTTGGAAGAAAAACAACCTAAATTTTGTGCTCATTTTAATTTTTGATAGAAACTATTACAAAAAAATTAGGTGGGGAGGTCGTTTTAAAAATGAATGATGAGGAAAATCGAGGGTAAGCATATGTGTTCTTCAAAAAAAGAATGAGAAGAAGAAAAAAAGATAAAATACAGGTCATCATAGGAGCCCCCAGTTGACAGTCCCCCTGTTCCCGGGGAACCCGTCAAGCCCTGCTTTCCTAGAGGTCGCCAGCCCCTGGTGGGGAGAAGGGCCAGCCTGCAGCCTCTGCCCCTGCCTTTAAAGCAAACCTGAGGAGAGGCATGTCAGACTTACTAAGGCCTTTTCTCCAAAACCGTACTGCAGAGCCCACTCTTTGTCTATTCCTTCCTCCATTTTCCCTCTTTCTGTCTTTTCCTGAGACCATTTCCCTAGAGTCCTAAAATTTTGTCCCTGCAAAAGATTGTCAAGATCCTCTGGTCCAGCCTTCTCCATGTAAGCAATGAGGGCTGAACACCAAGGACATAGCTTCTTACTGGCATAGGTGGAACTAGGATTAAAGACTTCAGTAACCTCATTATTTTCCTCTTAATGTTAAATAAAATTATTTAATATTCCCGCTTAATATTTAGATTCCTTCCCTTTTGAATTCTCTTTTGGCAATAATTTTTAGTACTTGTTTTAGGCACCTAAAATTTACTGTCATTTTAGAGGAAAGTCTAAGCTTAAAATATCTAAAAATAAGATTTTAAACTAAA